ACCCCCACAACCAAGTTTCCGATTTTTGCCTGGCAATCTTGTCTCCTTCCAATATCCAGGAGGATAACTATATGTTTTTCTTTGGGCTCACCTTCTTATTTAGCTTCTCTAGGATCACGGATTATAGGCTCAATGTCCTTTATTTATGGCTAGAATCCACTTATGAGTGAGTACATACCATATTCATCTTTTTGGATCTGGGTTACCTCATTCAGGATAGTGTTTTCTATTTTCATCCATTTTTTTTTTTTGGAAAATTCAAGATGTCATTATTTTCTGCTGAGTAATACTCTAACACGTACATATTCCATACTTTCTTTATCCATTCTTCCATTGAGGGGCATCTAAGTTGGTTCCAGGTTCTGGCTATTACAAATAATGCTGCTATTAAGGGAGCCATTTTAGGGTTGGCAAGAGACTTGACTCTAGAGGTGTACCTAGGTGTCCATGGAGATGTCCCCAGCTAGATCCTTGGGCAGCTGAGAAGAGGGAGCCTGAAATGGCCCTATCCTATAGCCATACTGATGAATATCTTGCATATCACCATAGAACCATCATCTGGTGATGGATGAAGCTAGAGACAGAAATTCACATTGGAACACTGGACTGAGCTCCCAAGGTCCAAATGAGGAGCAGAAGGAGGGAGAACATGAGCAAGGAAGTCAGGACCACGAGGGGTGCACCCACCCACTGAGACAGTGGGGCTGATCTAATGGGAGCTCACCAAGGCCAGCTGGACTGGGACTGATGGAGCATATGATCAAACCAGACACTCTGAATGTGTCAGACAAGGAGGGCTGACTGAGAAACCAAGTATCCGGAAGGCAGCCACTCCCTAGTCCACACCCTCTATTTCAAAAGAAGGAACCGAAAATAGGCTTGAATTTCCTGACCTTTGGTCAGGGTGGAGTGTGTCTACCTGTATGGGTAAGAAGTTAAGTTGTTAGTGTCAAAAAGCCCTTACGTTAGGGTGTATAGCCACCTTCATTGTTAATAACAGAGAGCAAACTGAAACTCTCTGACATTCAGACTAGGTAGAAATAGACTCACAATCTTCGTTAGATGGCAAAGTTTTTGCAGAATTCATAGGCCTGAACCCCTTCCTGGGTTGTCATAGTACTTTTTCTTCAACTCATATATCTTCTGCATAAGAAAGAAAACCAAGAAACCACCTGAGGATGCCTGTAGTTTGTTTTTGGTATATACCTTTATATATATATATATATATATATATATATATATATATATATATATATGTATGTATATTCCATTTGGAACACTTGGTCAATAACTTTGAAGGAATTTTCAATGAAGATCTTGATGATACATTTCCCATGAATCGTGTGTAGGTCCAGCAGTTCCTGGAGGGTTTTCTATGCACAGACGCAGAATTTTTCTTTTTCTTTGTTTCCCCACTCTACTTGTTTTATTGGTTGTATAAGAAAGCTGATCCTACTGCACGCACTGGCTTTGGGGGAGCCTAGGAAGTTTGGATGCTCACTTTAGGAGACCTGGATAGAGGTGGGCGGTCCTTGGGCTTCCCACAGGTCAGGGAACCCTGATTGCTCTTCCAGCAGATGAAGGAGGGGGACTTGATCAGGGGAGGGGGAGGGAAATGGGAAGTGGTTGCGGGGAGGAAGCAGAAATCCTTAATAAATAAATAAATTTAAAAAAAATTAAAAAAAAAGAAAGAAAGCTACTGGGGTCAACAAAGGGAACATTAAGGCTTCAACTGGAACAGTGTCATGGGGAAAGTGAGAGACGTCACTGTACCATCCGTGGAGTAACTTCCAGAGGAAAAACAGGGGACTAGGAAAGTGCTCAGAATCAGCAGACTAGCTCAGTTTATCTAAACAAGGCTCGTTTCTTTCTGGGAAAATGTATTCTCAGGGCATTTCACAATTTTGATCAGCTTCAGAAAAAATATTACCTTTGTTTCTAAAAGAGGACATCTTTCTTTTTTTTCTTTTATTATTATTATTATTGAAAAAAATTCTGCCTCCTCCCCGCCTCCCATTTCCTTCCCCCTCCCCCCACTAGGATTTGTGTTTGGATAAAAATTTAGAAGGATGTTTCTTTACCTTTCCCAGAAATGTAACAGAATATAAGACCTATAAATGTCTTGGAAAATCTGAGATATTTGGCCATAATATAAAAGATATTGTGACTTTAAAATTTTTGAACTTTATTCATTACAGAAAACAGAATGTGTTTGAGTTCATAGAATAATCGTTGTGAAATTTACAAATTTTAGCACATTATTTTCATGCATAATTACTGTTCACATTGAGAGTAAGGACCTTGATATAACTATTTAATAATATTTAAATAAATTCTGATTAGTAATGTTATCATTAAGTGTTTTGTATATTGATTCTTTCACTTGTCAGGAAAGGACAACATAAATAAAGAAAAATTGAAACATTTTGCATATTACCATGAATCAAGACAGTTATAAATAAAAATTAACCTTTGTATATAGGTTCTAGAATCACATACGGTGTTGCTTACAGGACATGTTTGCTCTGGGCTTTGAGCTGATGATTTCCAGCTGAGCAACGCTTGTTACCTAGAAACAAAGTAATGGAATGTTCTTTGATGGCTTATTTGAAATGAAGTATTTTGTTTATTTAACATATGTATGCTATTTTAGTTACTTTCAATCTAATGAAAGAGCTTTATTCTGTGAATGCCAAGCATATATTTGGATACATACTTTATAAAACTATTTATGAAAAGATAAAACTATGTGTGAAAAGATTTTCTATTATGTAGTATAATGATTGGTACATATAAGAGAATGGAGAACTTAGTTAATCATTAGAAGGAATAATATAAGCATAGTATATGCTAATGACAAGTTAGAAGTTACAACAAATTTAGGGACATATTTATGACATGTATTATATATACTTATATATTATATAATTTTGCAAGAATATATAGTGACAATTCTAAAAATTGAAATTCATTACAAACAGAGAAATGTAACAGATGAAGGGAAAGTATGTTAGATGGTGTTAGATGACAAAATATGGAAGGAAAAAATGTAAAAGTAAGAATGAAAGAGAGAAAGACAATGAGAAGGACAAGGAAGGGGGGAAAGAAGAGGAGACTATATAAATTATAAATGCTCGTCCAATAGCTCACTCTTATTATTAGCTATCTCTTAGAACTTCACCTATTTCTCTGAATCTGTGCTGCCACTAGGCTCGTGGCTTTTATCACTATATCATTTTGTGTCTCCTATTCATTCTCCACCTGGCTGGTGACTCTTGTGACTCCACCCTTCCTCATCCCACCATTCTCAGTTTGGCTTTCCCACCTAACTTTATCCTGCTTTATTGGCCAGTCAGCTTGCTTATTAAACCAATCATAGTGACATACATAGAATCACACAGTTTACAGAAGGATGATTCCACAGAGATCATTCTAGACCTATTGTTGAAATAATAACACATCAGATATACTGTAGTTGAGTTCGTGATAGGCCTAAATTTCAGAAACCTGGAAAGCTAAGTGAACTTCATTTTCCTGTTCTGAAAAAAAAAAGAGTAATAGAGAAGTTCAGCTTGGACAGGCCTAGTGAAGGTTCAGAATATGTGTTGCTTAACAGAGAAGACAGGAACACTTTAAAGGTGGATAAATGCCACTTTTAAGTTGGCAATGCAATAGGTATCAGTTCACAGGGAGCAGTGTGAAGGAGTGTCTCTTTTGTACATATGAGAAAGATAGGCAGTGGTGAATGACTCCAGAGGAGGTAGAAACTTTCATAGATTAATGGAGGATTCTTATTTTCTGCTAACGATTTAAGCCATTGGTACAGGGATAGCAAATATTTTATTCTGTGAATCAACACTGAATCAACCCATGACTTCTATTTTTAAACTATCTCTTCTGAGCAACATAGAGGATTAATTGGAAGGAAAAACAAGAAGCTCTTTAAAACAGGTTTAACTTTATAGATGCAAAACTTTATAGATGTGTATAAACTAGTATAGAGACAGGAACGTAATAAAATGTAATGAAAAAGAATTGATAATGTTTGCTGATTTTCTCTGATATCAGAAGTAATAGGGAAAAGAGATGTAGAAAACCTATGTTTAGTTTCTAGGTGAGCTACTGATCAGTTAGCAGTGTTTCATTGATTGTGATGAAAATGAATGTAACCTATGATAGAAGTGGTGTCAAAAGACCTTAGTCCAACAAATGATAACCAAGAAACCTGGCAGAAATGTAAATAAAGAAGGCTTGGAGTCATATGCTGCTGTATTTTGTAGTGTTCATACTAAGAAAGTATTTGGGAAGTATATCTCTATAGTGATGGAAATACAGAGAGGTGTGCCCCTCTTTTCTATAATTTCAATACCCCATCTGTGCATTTAAATTATATAGTGATTTGATGCTGTGGATTGGCTTAATGAGTAAGAAAAAATAAGCAAAACGATTTCTTATGTTTCACCCTTCTTTAATTCCATTTTTCCTTCTTTCTTTCTTTCCTTCCTCCTTTCCTCCCTTACTTCCCCCTTCTTTTCTTCTTTCCTTCGTTTCTTTCTTCAATCCCTTTTTTCATGTATCATATAACAACAATCAACTGATAATTTACTTCCCTGTCTGTTGAGTACTAAACACCTTAAATTAGTGTCTGAGAGCTCTTTCTTTCCAGAGACTTCCTAAACTTTGGTTTAGCCATGTCAACATTCATTCCTCTATTCCTGAACTTACTAAATGTATGCAATAATATTTGTAAAATTTTAAACCTATTTGTTGAACACAAATAATGTTATACATAAATAATTATGCATATATATATATATATACATATGAATGAAGCTTTTGTATAGTAACTTCCTTCTAATTACAGACTCCATTCATTATTTTTTTGAACTAGTCAATATTAGATGGAATAAAGTGTTGTTCCAGAACACATGCTTTGTTTTTACAAACATAGATTTGTTGGTGGATTTCTTTGATTGAGGCCCTATCTCTGTCTTCTACAGTGACCAGGACTGTGTGTGCCGAACAATGTGATGGCAGGTGCTATGGACCCTACGTCAGTGACTGCTGCCATCGGGAATGTGCTGGCGGCTGCTCAGGACCAAAGGACACTGACTGCTTTGTATGTTTAGGACTTCTCTCTCTCTCTCTCTTTCTCTCTCTCCGAATCAGACTCACATTGAATATTTAACACTGGATTATATTAAGAATAAGTTTGGACATTTTATTATTATAAAAGGCATTCTACCATTGAGTTGACTATTGATTAAACAGAATGAATTTGTACCAGTAAGATCAATTCTGACTTTCTGACATAATTTATGTGTGACATGAATATATTGAAGAACATGAATGAAAACATGCTGGGATGTTTTTCAGAAATTGAGAACATAATTTCCACATATTCAGTGCTTACAGCTTTGTGTTGTTGCATTATTAAGTTTCATAAGTGAGGATGGCTTGCTTCCTGAATATGAATTTCAAGGTTATATCAGACAAATTGATGCATTTGGATATTTTACAGTTTGTACTGTTAACAAACTAATATTTTCTATTTATAAAATATAGACATGTTTATTTAAACCTATTTTAAACCTATTTATATGATAAATCATATGGCTAATATTTTTGAAGAAAATGTTTTTATTTCAATAATACTAACATTTATAGGTTGTTGGAAAATTTTAAAATATGTTTGATATTATATCCTTGATATAAGTTTTTGTTCATTGAAATATATATTTAACTTTGTAAGTGATGATTTATTCAAGCTCATAAACAACAATACTAATTTTAATCTAAAATAATAAACAGTAGACTTTTATTTTTAAAATGAGTACAATAAATTATTTTTTCATTTCTCAAAAAATCTACTGACACATATTAGAAATTTATTTTCTTGCACCAAACACATATTAACATTGAAAATTTTAAGAATTAAGACTCTATCTAATAAGCAAAATAAAAATTAAAGCACTGAGGCTGTAATATTTATTCTTTAAATTTTAAAAATTATAAGAATCTTAATTTGTCTAATGTGATTCTATGGTGAAACAACACTAATTCTGGTGAACTGAAGTCAAGCAAAGAATTAGCTGTTACACATCCAAGGATGTTACATCTAAGAAGAGCCTTGGCAGCCAAACTGAGAGCTCTTTCTTTTCTGTCATTGGCATAGACAAGAGACGACCAAGCTTGATTTTGAAGATACGGCACACTGCAGGTGTTGCATTAATGATTCCAAAGCCAGCACTGTGGTAAACAGTAGGAAAACCTCTTCGTGTAGGATGTGGCACTGTGCCCTTTCTCTTGTATTCTTGTGATAAGCAGTACCAGGTGCTCTTGAGAGCTCTCATTTCATTACTATATTGGAATGGTCCAGTGATTCTACTTGGCATTTATACAGAAGGTTCATGAATGCCAGACTGATGCTTTGGTGTAAGTTACATCGTGCTCGTGTGTTAACTGGAAGGTACATTTGCTCCGTTCCTCTGGCTTATATCCCCTTGTTCCAAAGCTGTCTACATACACTGCATATCAGTGCAGAAAACATGTTAGTAATTCAATTATAAGAATATATGATGTTTCATGGTCGTAAATTAAAACTTACTGAGTTTTCTAGATTGCTTTTTAATGGAGTCTTCCTATAAAGTGTTATCTTAGTGAATAATGTATCATCAGTGAGTCTCTTTCTGATTATGTGCCTTGTAGACCACCGTGAGAGAATTGTCATGTTGTGATGAAGTGTTTGCTGAAACAATTGATGAAGCAAATGTTGTGAGAAAACTGAATAAATTAATTCTTATTAATAACCATAAGACAGTTTATAAGAAATGTAAAACAGAGCTTTGGTTCATGTTAGCTCTTTTATGAGGCCTCAATTATTCACTGGAAAGCTTCATTTCTTAACTAAAAGAGAGAAACTGTCCATGTTTGTTAGTCACATGTTTATATATGTTTTCTTGTGATATCTAAAACATAACTCTCAGGTAGCAAAATAATTTTAAATTCTTCTCAAATGAATTTGAAAATATGAATAAAACACATCAGAAGACAAATTTATATTATTGAAAATCAAATGCCTTTTGAACTTGGTGGCTACCAAAAATGATGTACCATTGTGAAAAATTACATTATTTTATTTAAACACAGGCTAGTGACAGCTCACAAGTTCTTCACATGTTAACCCTTTAAGCATTATACTTGGTCAGTCTCCAGGTTCTACTTAAGTTCAGGTAAATCAATGGCAATCATTATGTTTCCTACTGTAAAATGAAGATACTTGAACTTAACATGAAACACAAGGCATGAAATTGCCAGATCTACATACTGGATACATACACTGACTGTAAAGTTTAAAATAACTATGTTTAATCAGTGTGAGCTCAAATAATCTGTCAAATTTGTGTAGATTGAACACTATCCACCAAGCCTTAGTTTAAAACTGTGTTAATACATGCTACTCTACATTCAGGTAAAAAAGAGATAATAGTGATTTCTGGCACAGAGAGGGTAAGAAATCGATGAAAACTTAAAGGCACAATCACTTCGAGGTTATCAATTTTAAAAGGGTTAATAAAATTGAAGTATAATAAATAAAGTACAACACCTTTCACTAAACTATAATAGCAGTGCGTTTATTGACAGGAATAGAAGAAAAGTCATTTATAAATGGATTTGCTGTGTTGCAGGCCTGCATGAACTTCAATGACAGTGGAGCCTGTGTTACTCAGTGCCCCCAAACATTCGTCTACAATCCCACCACCTTTCAACTGGAGCACAATTTCAATGCAAAGTACACATATGGAGCTTTCTGTGTCAAGAAATGCCCACGTAAGTAACACATAAGACACATCAAATAATTACAGCTCTACTTGAAAAATGAGACGTTCATTTATGATTGTTTTCATTTGAAACTTGAATAATAAAATTAGTAAATTACTTTACATTGGTTGTGGGTCTGGGAGTCTATATTTCACAGAAAGAGGAAACAAGGATCATCATATTTATCTAATTTGTCTTGCCACATGAGGTCGTGCCAGACTTGACGTTAGAATGGTGGCTTACTGATGAGTAAACACTTGACATTTTCTCTATACCTTGGTTTTCAACAAGTGACACTGTTTCTTAGCAGAGATCATTGTTTGGGAGAAATCTGTATGATAAATAAGGTTAGATAATGATATAATTGGGTTTATGCCTATATATGTTGCTGATTGTTTACTTATATTAGAATATATGCCAGAATAATTGAATATATATGAAGATTGTTAAGTGATATTTAGCAAACTGATAACAAATGCTAATGATTAAAAAGCATCATTATTTTGATTACATATTAGATAGCATATGTTATTATACATATATATATATATATATATATATGACCATATGTGTATTTATGGATATATATCCATATATATTGACATCTGTTGTTTTAGTGACCAATGGGACTTTTACCTATTCGAGAGTCTAATTAAGTAAGTTAAAAATTTTAAAGTTAATAATCACATTTACTTATATACTCAAATGAGTGGAGGCTTTGCACTCTGTGGGATGTGTGTGTGTGTATGTGTGTGTGTGTGTGTGTGTGTGTGTGAGAGAGAGAGAGAGAGAGAGAGAGAGAGAGAGAGAGAGAGAGAGAGAGAGAGTTGGAATATATTTCTTTAAATCAGTTGAAGGACCTTCTCTGCTTTTAAACTGTAACACTAAGACCCTCTGTAAACTGCTCACTGAAATCAGTTTACCAAACTTCAACCATCTTTGGAAGCAAGGTCATTTATCTTCTAAACAGAGGCCTTACACTCCCTAGTTCAGCATCCTGAAACATAAAAACTCAACTGTTGAAGAAAAAAAAGAAGGGTCGGGCTTCTGTGCATCCTACAAAAAGTCCACTGTGGTGGGCACTCTAAGACTGATAGCTTGCATTTATACATGTGTCTACCCCAATGAGTGATGCATCCCCCTTGTGTTAGTTACCTCTGTGTTACTGTGATTAGAATACCTGGAGGAGGAATGAAAGAGGGGAAAAGTTCATTTTTATTTAATGATGTCTGAAATAGAGCATGGAAGGGATCCAGTGAGTATACTGGAGCTTTTGGCAAATACTCTTTTCTTGCATTGAGAGTTGGCCCAAGGCAGGTAAGATCCAGAGCCTATGTGATCTCTCAAAGCCTTCTGGTAATAACTTACTTACAACCTGCAGTGCCTACCTTTGAAAGGGGCCACAGGCACAGCAAAAGCGGGAGATCTAGTCTTTAAAGTGTGATGTTACAGGGAACATTGTGGATTACAGATCATACCATTCTTTTACCTTGGATCTGCCCCTGCCTTTCAGACGTTCCAATCTTTCTTCTTGCAAAGCAATCTAGGGCTTTTGAGTCACTCTTTTCTCTATACAAAGTAACTGGTTATGAATAATTACCTAGAAATTGTCCCATTAGAAGACTTCCCTTATTTCAGACTTGATGCCTTCTACTACCATATCTGGGTGCCCCTTTTCAATCATTGCTGATTATGGAAATGCTGACCTTAAATCAACACTGACGAATGGTTAGGTTCTGTCTCTATCAGGTCCATAAAGCATGTAAGGAGCTGTTTGTTTACTGGGATACAATTTTATACCATAGACCCCATGCCTTGACTCTCAAAATCTTAGAGGTCTTTTTTAGTTTTTTCTAGAACTTCATAACTCTGTATGTCATTGGCTATCCAACAATGATGAAATATCAGTGAAAGACTTGGAATGCATGGCCATGAAGCAGAATTACTAAAATCACATGTCTCTTCTGCTTTGGACACACCGCATGTTTGGTATCTTTCATAGCTTTTTATCTATTTACAAACTGTCCAGAACTGTATTCAGGGAAGGTTGATACATTCCAAACCACTGTTCTCGCAAACATCATGATGTCCCTCTTTTTCTGATAGCTCTAGATGCAGAACTTTTTTCGTTATTTTAAAGAGAAATTACTGGCATCTCACAGATTGCTGATTTTCTAAGCATATCACCAAGTCTCAGTAATAAGGTTTCGCTTGTTTAATTGTACACTTTTGCTAAAGTGAAATCTTTCAAACTTTCAGTATGTATCACAAAGGTTTAGTGACACTCATATAAAACACTGGACACATTTTAAACATTTCCTCTTGGACCTGCAGAGCCCCTCTTGATCGGAGGTGGTTTAACTTCAGCTTCATTTGCGCTTCATGAACTAGAAGTATTTTAGACTTCCAGCTTGCATAATGTCATGAAATGAAGTGGAACTATTGAAAAACACAAACTAAATGTAATGTAGTTTCCTAAGTCTATAAGCGAGATCTCTCTATCTTGGGGGCAATTTGGAATGTGGAGCAGTAGTCAAGAAGATACCCATGCTCAGCACACACTGCTCTTAGAGTGGAATGTGGGTGTTGGAGAAACTGCTTCAGGTTGGGGTATTTACAGAAGGACTTGGTTTAGAGAAAGAGACATATACATTGTCAACGATGCTATTTTCAAGGCAGAAACTATCTCTTTTTTAGGCTGATGGTTTAGCTTTAACATTTTTATTTGAATTTTTAATCAGATAACTTCGTGGTGGATTCCAGTTCTTGTGTGCGTGCCTGTCCTAGTTCCAAGATGGAAGTAGAAGAAAATGGGATTAAAATGTGTAAACCTTGCACTGATATTTGCCCCAAAGGTGAGTGATCCTTCAGAATGTTCGGTTACAATAGGTCCTTTCCAAAGGACTTCATGTGCTTTTCTTGCTGTATTGGTTTTGTGAGTTTTGTTGTTGTTTGTTTTGTTGTGTTGTGTTTGTTTATTTCTTAAAACAGGGTTTCTCTGTGTATCCTGGCTATTCTGGAACTTGGTCTGTAGACCAGGCTGACCTTGAACTCAGAGATCTGCCTGTCTCTCCCTTCTGAATGCTGGAGTTAAAAGCAAATCCTACCTTCATGTACATTTTAATAACCCAGTGGGACTATCTTCTCAGAAAAAAAATCCCCTCCCACAATGATGATTGACAGCACCACACACACACACACACACACACACTTACACATTTTGCATAATTTTCTTGTTATGAAAAATACTGGCTAATAGTGGTTTTGACTGACTTTGAGTTAAACTAACAGACTAGATGAGGGGAAAAAAACCAGGAACTCCGAAATCAAAGAATATTGCCTTCTTTTTGTTTATGCAATGCTAGAGATTGAACCGATGCCTTTAATCATTCTAGGCAAGTACTCTACAATCAAACCACACCCCTCCCCAGAAGCACCAAATGTTATAAGTTTGTCACAAAGTGTTTATTATACATAAATTATTTCCACATAAAAAGATCTGCAAAGGGAAAGACCACACACCATTTACTCTCCCTTGTCTTAAAACCATATTTTAACAGATATGTGCAGTAAGAAGAAGTAGATTATAAGTATCAAATCAATCTCACAGGTAATTTGTGCTGTAGAGTTTGAATGAAGAAAGACATCTTACCTAGGCCTGAATGCTCAAATTCCTCATCAGAAGGAAACCTTGAAACAGGATGAAAGTAAAGCTCATATCTCTCAAATGGTCAAATGGTAGGCTTTTGAAACACCTAGATTAACAAAAGGAAAACCTCATACTTTTAGACTACACACCTTGTGTGTGTGAATGCCTCACTCTCTGTCTCTACATCTGTCAGTGTCTGTGTCTCTTCTCTCTCTCTCTCTCTCTCTCTCTCTCTCTCTCAGAATATAAATATTTCTGACTCACTCACCTTTAAATTGTTTTTCAAAGTAGAGCCTTCAGAAAGCATAAATAACATAAAAGTATAAATATTTAAATGCCCTAGTGCTGACTCATATCACAGTACTTGTTATTTAATAAATATTTTAATACACTAGCATTATTAAATTGTAGGTTGCAGATGATTAGTCTATCAAGAAATTATTTCATGAAACTACCAGCATTTTAAAAATGTTAAAAATTGTATTTTGAAATGAACTTCATAATGAGAACTTTTATCTGGTAATGTAAAATATTAATTGATAAAAGCTTCATCTCAGTTAGCCTAGGTACTAACTACGTGCTGGGTCTTAAATTTAAACAAAACTCTTACAATGAGTCTTGATCATTAGATTGTGATACAGAGAAAAAATTTCAATTCAGTCTCAGTAATAAATGCTGATCAAAGATTCAAAACAAAGAACAATGAGCTAATAAATAGAGTAGATAGTTTTCCTAAGAAGGAATACATACATACTGCTAACAAACAGTTATCAAAATGCTCAGTGCTACACTATCAGACAGATATATATTAAAGCAAATGTCCTGTCTCTCTCACCATGTGAAGCTGTTATCCAAACTAATGACAAACGCTGCCGCTCCCGAGAAGAGACTCCATACCCTGCTACTGAAAATGTGCACTGGCACAGCACCCAAGACCCAGGAAACTAGAGCTGTCATAGAACTCAGCTTTTGTTTATAACCAAAGGGTTATAAACCAGCCCACCATACATACTTATACTGCAATGTGTATAGGTGTAGTGTGCATTATAACCAGAAAATAGAACCAGTCTATTGATAAATGAATAGATAATGAAAATATTATATTATGAAATTTTAGAAGGAAAATTAAATCATGACATATTTTAGAAAACATAAAATTAAAAATCATCGTGCTTAGCAAAATAAGCTAGGCTCAAAAAGGACAAAGGCTACATGTTTTATCTGATATATGGAATTCATATTTAAAAGTGTGTGTGTGTGTTTGTATGTTGGTGTGTGTCTCTCTGTCTCTGTATGTGTGTCTGTTTTTGTGTGTGTGACTAAGAAGAGATTCATGAGAATAGAAGGAAGAGACTTTAAGGGAAGAGAGATGGAATACATGTAATAATGAATTAATAGGATGGAATCTGCCTCTTAAGTGCTGGGATTAAAGTTGTATACCACTGCACACAGTTATGCAATGCATCCTCTCTACCCTCCTACACACCCAGCTTCATGGATTGAGGAACATATGAACACACATAGGCTGTATGGGCGTTTACAAGTCCTACAGAAATTCAAGCCAGATAAAATATAGCACCAAGAAGGAGAAGTAGGCCCCAAATTCCTTCTCTTACTAAGAAGCTATTTGTAATAAATACTTGGGAAAGATAAAACTGTCAATTGTACTTCAGGACTGGCCCATGCTCAGGAATAGGTAATCACCACAAAAGACTCCATACTTCTTTGTTGCTTGTTTGAGGTGTGTGAATGTGTGTTTATGTAGTGTGTGTGCATGCGCTTGTGTTTTGTTTTGGCTTTTTTTTTAGGATTTGATGAGTTTTATGTTTTTACTTTTAATTTTATTTTCTTGAGTTTGGGGTTTATTGGGAGTGATTAAGAGAGAGGGAAAATATATTTTAAACTTATAAGGGAGTAGGGTCAGTACTACTGAAGTTGCTTAGCATATGTAATGCTAAAAACATAAATAGATGGATAGATAGGTGGATAGATAGATAGATAGATAGATATTTAGATAGATAGATAGATAGATAGATAGATAGATAGATAGATAGATAGATAGATAGATAGATAGATAGGACTTGATAGCTAATGCCTGTAAATCCCAAAATTCCTTTATTCTTAGCACTCTGGAGGCATAGACTGACAGATCTCTCTGAATTTGAGGCCAGCCTTATTGTAGGAGAACAATTGTTCATTCCAGGATGTTCAGACCCAAAATATTCACACAGAAAATATATCATTTGCAATCCTGTTTGGCCAATAGCTTAAGCATATTTCTGGCTAACTCATATCTTAAATTAATCCATTTCCATTAATCTGTGTATTGCCATGTGGCTGCAGCTTACCGGCAACATTCCTGTGCATCTGTCCCCAGCAGTGGATATATGGTATCTCTCTGACTCTGCCTACTCTCTTTATATATTAAGCCATTGGCTGAAAGAAGCTTCTTTATTCATTAACCAATAAAAGCAACACATATACAGAAGGACTTTCCACAGTACAACCTGGTCTACAAAAGTGAGTTCCAGGACAGCCAAGGCAACATAGAAAAGCCCTGTTTCAAAAAATTAAAAAAAAAAACATTATCTTTTAAGAAGGATATTTCAATTTTGAAATAAATGCTAGTAGGTTATAATAAAAAACACAAAGATGTATTAGCTAGGAATATGTTTCTCAGCTATTTACTCCGAATCTTGCTTCCATAGCGTGTGACGGCATAGGCACAGGATCATTGATGTCAGCTCAGACCGTGGATTCCAGCAACATTGACAAATTCATCAACTGCACGAAGATCAATGGGAACCTCATCTTCCTTGTCACAGGGATTCACGGGTCAGTGCTCAGTTTCGTACATTGTTCTGGGAAGTGAAGGTGTTCCTTTGCATTGAATGCCTGCACTGTTGATTCACCTGAACCTAGAAGAGTTTTACCTTAAAACTCGTTCCAGTCAAAGTAATGGACAGCCCGCCAGGAGTGCCGGAAACACATCTGCCTTCTGAGATGGGTCAGTATTTAGGTATGACAATGCAAACTTGTAATTAAGCTTAAATATGCTTTGAGAGCAATCTCCTGAAACCCATGGTCTCATCAAGCCCAGGTTTTCAGGAAACATCACTAATACATGAAATGAAGAATATCCTTTGACTTTCCAGAACATAAGTTCAAAATAACTTATATCCCATTTAAAAAAAAAACTCACATAAAACTGCTCAAAGAATCTGACATAAAATTAAGTTGAAATTCTCCTAAGCTGCTTTTAAAAATACATTTTGTTCGGATGCATTCTTCTTTCTCTTATATGGGGAAATTAGCACAACTATAAAGTGAATTTTATTTTGGTAGTAAAAATTCTTACATTATCTGGGGTCCTTTATTACAGAACCGCCTGCTGGGGAAATAACCAAGTTTGTATACTTTCTGTAATAAAAACGTCAATAGTTGTACTTTGTATTTTATCTATTTGTCTATATTACTACTTAATCTCTAAATATTAGGGCTACAGGCTACAAATAAAGACTATCACTCACATATTTTAATTCAAACTCTTACACTGAACATATATCACATCATTTCTGGAAGCAAAATAGCTTAACACATTATGAATAAATATTTCCAAATAAGAGCAGCATGAGCAACGTGACAAAGTATTTATCTTCATTCAGACAAATTATTATTTGTGCTCTTGCATACAACATCTCTATTTAAAAATGTTGTTTTTAATATGGCCCATGTCATGTCCTGTAAAGGTATACATGTATCTTCTGGTCGGTTGGTTATTTTTAGCCAAACCAAAGTTTTTCTTAAAATTAAGATTCCTAATTTCCATTTAAAACTTGGTGATTCTCCACCCACATCCATATATAACAATGATGTGCTATACTTGAGCAACTCTCACCATTTTGAGATGGGATCCATTGTGTTAACAAAAGTCTCCGTACTTCCTCTTATGTCATCTGAATTGTTGATTTTAGCCTATTTAGCCCATATGAGCAGGAAACTTGGGTCAGCACTTACTCCCTTTCTTTATAATTCAGTGAGTGAGTGCATGACATCCAGTAAGTGACATTTGTCTATGTGAATTATTACTTTTTGAAACCAAATATCCCTTTGCCCAAAAGAGCATCTGTTAGTAAAACTTTCTGAGGATCCGAGAAATAAGATGGAGCCAGTTAGTGCTCATTGTTTCCTGCATTAGTTATCTTTCCAATCTCTGACAGAAACAACTTAAAAGAGGATGCATTTATGTTAGTTCACAGTTTCAGAGTATGGCTAATGTGGCAAGGAAGTCACGGCAGCCGGACCTTGAGGCAGCAGACCACATTGCGTGTATGGCTCACTCTCTGCATTTTATTCTACCCAGAATTCCAGCCTCTCCATCAGTGCCATGCACTTCTCAAGTTAGTCTTCCCCTGTAAACTGACGTATTCAAGATAAGTCCTCACCAATCTCCCCATAGGCAGCCTGATCTAGGTTACCTCTCACAAGTGAGCTCAGACATTTTCCTCTCAGGTGAGCCTACATCTTCTAACATAGATGATATGAGCCATCACAGATGTGATAAAAATGTAGTTGTTTCCAGACTTCAGTGTTCACTGCAATTTCAAAACATATTCTCGTGAACTGTAATTGCTTTAGTAAAGAGGTGATTTTTTAATATTGTCAAATCTAACATAAATTTATATGTGTGTGTTTATAATGCATCTGACATCTTATTAAATTCAAAATAAAATCCAGAGATAATGTTCCCTTGTTAAACACATACATTTTAAAAATTAAGGCACTTCCTAATTATAATTAGAGCAAAATATGAAAATGTTCAATGTGATAAATAGAATTGCTTGAAAATTCCTCAACTTTTACTTAAAATAAAAATTTAGATTTATAAGAAATGATATTAGAAATCATTCTATTGCAGGAAGTACAAAAAATATAAAAGTAATATTAATAGCTGGAGACTGAAATACAAAAAAAACCCTAAATATGCATATTACCCACACATGTAACATTATTCCAAAACATCTTTAAATTTGTATCAATAAACTAAAATCCATACCAATATAAAATATCCTGAGATAAATACCTGTTTTAGTTTGATTTGGGGGGGGTTAATGTATATTCAATAATATATCTTTTTATTCTTTCATTTCTATATTCTTTCTCCCATTTTTCACTTAGAGATCTTTTAATTTAACTATTTTTTTAGCTTTTTTTTTTTTACTATGACCAATAACAATTTGTAAACAAACCATCTAAACAACAAACATACATAATCCATTTTTGGGGAAACGGGAGTAGTTTTTTAGGCTACTTCCTGCTGCTTGGGGGCACTGATAACTTTTGAGGGAATCCTGAGAAAATTTAAATTTTGGTCAAGTTCTGACTGGAGTATTCTGTGAGACAGGGTCACCTCAATAAGACACCTCCAAACTGTTTTGGATGTAGAACTCAGAAGAAATTGCAAGAGAGGTGCTCTGAGATGTTGGATCATCTGGACCATCTACTCCTTTTAGGGATTTTTCAGAGTGGTATTTCTCTATCAAACCTTATTTTTCTCAAGCCAGAAAGTATCTGCATCCTCTCGTTTTCTGTGGAAATAAAAACAGAACATGTTTCCCAAAGTAACATATCTTTTGACTGAAATTTTGAAGTCAAGGAATTTTTAAAGTATATAGATTCATTTAATCTATAAACTTTCATAATCAAATGTCTGTCAACAATGATTTTTTACCCATTAACAGTCAAAAAAATCTAAAGACAATGTAATACTATACAGAATCCAGACTCTCCTTGTATTTTCCTTCTTCATGTGGCTTATTATATTTTTATTACTTAAGTACTTTTTCTATCTTTTTTCTTTTATCTCCCAAGCCTACACACATTTTTTAACACACCGTAAGCCATTTAGAGGCTTTATTTTTTTTCTTTTTTTTTTTTGAATCTATCTTTATTGCATCTCTCTCTTTTTTTTTTTTTTTTTTTTTTTTTTTTACCATATGAGCCTTTAAACTTCTAAGAGGGCACAACTAACACCAAAGCCATGACAAAAGCGACTGACTTTGTTGCATTCTTTTCCCCCTAAGAATCTAGATCTTGACAGATCTACTGGATTTAGCTGTGATACCACTCCAATTATGGGAAGATTTTAGTTCATGCTGATGATGAGCAGTGTTCCACCTGCTGATCATAAATCCTATTTAAGTGTTTGGCTGCAGGATGTCTTAAAAGAGTCACATGGTTTTTACTGCTAAAGCTGAGTCAGGAAACTGTCTATTAAAGGAACCGTGCCTCTGCTTGCTGCTAACAAACACAGCCTATCAATTAAAAAACATTTACCAAGGAGCCAAATTTGACACCATTTTGTGTTCTTACTATCTCTTTTAAAGCTTTTTCAGACTCTATGTGGAAATTCTTGCTGAACGTTTAGATGCCATATGTAAGCAGAAGTTTTCTTTCTTGGAGTCACATAGTCCCAAAAACCTGCCAGGTGCTTCCAAAATTACCATTCCGAAGTGTAATATTACTTTTAAACCTTTGACTGATAGCTCAGGCTTATCAGTACCTAGCTCATACATTTTAAGTTAGCCTATATTCCTTATCTAAGCTCTGACACATGACAGTACCTTTTCTCATTATGCCATGTTCATCTTGCTCTTCCCACATCTGTGTGGCATCTTCTGACTCCACCTTTTTCCTTCCCATCATCCTTAGTTTGTTTGCTCCACCTATACTTTCTGCTTGGCTACTGGCCATTTTATTAAACCAATTTGAATGACAAATCTTTACAGTGTACAAGAGGATTATTCCACAGCATGCACATACACACAGACACACACACACACACACACACACACACACACACACATAGAAGATATAACTAATTTTCTTTGAAGTTGAGACAATATTGCTAGGGAATGACACACAAATGAGAATTTGATGTAAAAATAGCAATCTTTGGTAGTACATTTTTAAGATTGTATGTGACATAGGGAAATCCTTTAATAAATATGATTTTAATAGCATTGCTCTTTGGTTATTATTAAAAGCCTAATTACTGCTATAATTAAAATATTTCTATAAATGCCCCTAAATTCCTTTTAATGGAATGGTACTATGCCCATTGAGAACTACTGGACAAAATTATATTCGTCGAATAATTATGAAAATTGACCTACATATGACCAAGTTTCTTTAAAATAATATCTGGGAGAGAAAATATGAAAAATAATAATTTAATGAGGATTAGAATAAGTGTTTTAGCCTTGTTTCATCATAGAACTTTTTGGAGTAGTTATGCTTATCAGGATTTTATGTATTCAGAGCTCTTCCAGTTGAGGTATCAGTCAACAAATAATTACAAAGCAAATAGAAACAACTCTCCTTTGGGTCAAATGTATTGTACAATAGGAACCACGTGCAAACTACAAATCTTTAAATTCCTCATTCTGTATGGACGATAATATCACTAATTCATTCAAGTGGAAACGAATTGCCTGCAAAAATCACCATGAGCTAGCAGTCCAAAGGTTGTCTTTAAAATGAACTCAGCAAAAGACAAATGAGATCGTTTATGTAGGTGACCCCATCCAGAGCAGCGTGAGTTTGAATAGTAGCTACATGATGGATGGTACAAATTCGAGTCAAACACTCACCTTCCTCCAGTGAAAGACAGTGAAATGGATGGATAATAAATAGCTCTTCTGCTTGTTTTCATGAGTAAATCAAAAATTATTTTGATTTGTTCAGCCCCATATCAGTAAAATCTTAATCAATGAGATAAAAGGTAAGGAAAGTAGAGAGGTAAGTGTGGCAAAGGAAATGAAAAGCACAAAAGGCAGGTGGAGAAGGCAGCAAAAGAAAAACCACTGTGACTTTGTCTAGTTAATAGTGCAGAGAAGTGTTAAACAAATATCACTTTATGGCTTAATTGTAGCATTTTGTAGACTATGTTAGAAAGCAAATAAAGGCAAATTTGGTTTCCGATACTTCATCATTCAGATGATTACCTGTCCTTAATCATAAGTTTGAAGCCTTGAATACTTTGAAGTCAAAATTGATACTATTGTGTCTGGAGAAAAATATATATGATATATTTGAAAGAGAGATGTCTATAAAATATGATATATCCTCCATTCTCAATCTCATGGGAGAATGAGTTATGAAGCCCTTCACATTCATTTCATGAAACTATAACTATAAAGCCAATTCAACAGGTCTAAGGCAATATATATATATATATATGTGTGTGTGTGTGTGTGTGTGTGTGTGTGTGTGTGTGTGTGTTGGCTTATTCCATCTCTATGCATGTATGTGCTAGTGGGGAGAGGGAGAAGGATGGGGTACAGAGTAAATTTTAATAGTCATAGCTTTAAATATTATAAATAATAAACTTCTAGTAAATAAAATGTTTTCTGTACTTTCAATGCCATGGCTCTCAACATATTTGTAGTGACTTTTAATAGGATACTATTATTCATTAACACAGTTCTTTAATGATGAGGTCAAAAGTCATTAATTAAATGGTATTTTGTTCAGAAACATTTCTTTCAGAAAACACAGTCTTGGCAATTTGTCAATTGTATTTTTGGATTTAAAAGAGCTAAAAAAAGTTAATTTGCATATTCATACTGTGCCATAAAATTGTCTTTGCCAGTAATGGAAATTCAACTCATTTCCTTAATTATAATGAGAAGTCCCAGCATGCAAAGGGTCTAGGGCTATCAAAGGAATGTTCCTCTCATCCTTTGTGTTGACATTGATCATGGGCATGCTCTTACAGTAACAAGATGCTTTTAAATATGCTGGAAACGTGTCACAGAGAGGGATTGACAGGAAGAGGTTTTTATGACGGGTCGCAGGAGTGGCAGATAGGAAAAGTCACACCTAGATTTCTTTTTCTTTCTATGCTGAACACAAAACACAGTGACAGGGTAGTCATAATGTTCTTTTACTTGGCTCTGTATTTAATAGAGAAAAGCAGTTCTAAGACAGTGTGGATCTTCAGTGGCTTTAGGATGAGACTCCCCACAGGTACTTTGAAGTTGAAAAGTGGGATTCTGTCAACTTATTTTATAGGAGTCTTGAATCTCTAAAATTAAGTATAGAAAAGATCTATGGTCCATTGGGCTTCTGGTTAACAATTAATTTCATCCTGGAAGCCAGGAAATTTTCAGTCATGACTTTGGCTGACTCCATTATTCTTTACTTGCCCTGAATATTTAATCTTTTCTTGTGATGCCAGGATATTAGATTTTATGGCCAAAATTGTTCTATTTTTTTTTCATGGCAGGGCAATGGTAAAATTCCATTCCCCAATTTCAGAGCTTATATTTCCTCTGATAGAAGAGTTTTGTACATTAAGAGATGGATATAGACTTTAAGAACTGAATGTTAAATCAGATTTCTGTGAAAAGTTTTCTGGACATAACATGACTGTGGCACACATGAACTAATTAACAGCACCTGAGGTCACCTGCACAATATCAAGTCAATTTTAAATAAATGCCCAGCATGGAGGTCAAGCATGTTGCTTAGCTGAGGGGATGAGAGAAGTTGATGGCTGCTGCAGCAGGAACAGCTTCTTTACTTTGGAGGGATGGTCATTGATATTTTGCCCCATATTACAGAGGATGATCCCACAACCAAGGGCATATGGGCATCTCTATGGACTCAGGGTATTCAAATACTTTGTATCAAAAAAGAGGGCATGAATAGGTAGGGATATGCATTGAATAGGTTGGGGGAGGAAATTGAAAGGAGATAATGTGATTGGATGTTTTCAAGACACTTTATATGTCTGTATGAAATTTTCAAAAAAAATTAATTTCAAAAGATAAATGCAAAAGTTTTTCATCTGTTACATTTCATTTTGTATCTATTTTGTCTATATTAACATCAAAAAGGTCATATGTAACACGCATTTACATACATATATGTGTGCATATATAGATATGCATGCATTTATGCATATAAGTATGGAAGGGTGCGTGAAAGAGCAAGAGTACACTATTTAGAGACCTTTACATTTAGACCACAATTTCAGGAGATGTGTCTTTGAGAATATTCTGGATCAATAGGGTTCTTTTTTGAGTTATAGAAATATGTGCTGTGCTTTCTCAGTCTCAGCGATACCCAACGCCAGAGCTTTATACAGCAGTGCACACTAAACTAGTAGTACATTGCAGTGACTGCATTTCTTAGTTTAAAAAGTAATTTAATCAAGCAAAACCTTTTTAAAAGAGATGAGATGATCTACAGTTTGGGGCAAAATGCTGAAGAGCCAAGTTTAGAAAGCCAGTGTCAGGTGCTTTGAGAGTTCAAACTGGAACTCATAGTTGCTGCAAATGATCTTTTAAATCCATCTTCCATGGATGAAGACTACCGTTCCAGAAGCTATGCCATATACCTACCTGTTTGTTGGTAGTATAACATATCTCTGTGTATAATCCTATTTAGACTGCTTAGTTACTATAGTCTGTGTTATTTCACACACAAAATAGAAAGTTCTCACAAATGGTGACAAATGATAAGTGTTCACAGGAAGAATAAAACTCATTTAATTGCTATATAATTCTACAAAAGCTAAGGTTCATTCTTCTGAGAAAGTTCAGGATCTCACAGAAAGCTGATCAATGCATAACATTGAACACTTCTGTGAAGATATGAAGTCTTCACACATCCTGGAAAGCCTTTAAAGTAATAAAGCATTAAACAAATGCCATATGTTGCTTACATTACTGAAAGTATTACTTCAATTCTGAGATAATTTGGTATCATGTTGGGCTCAATATTCAAATACACAATCATTTTAAATGACCAATATTTACCTAAATACTTTTGGAAGACGAAAATTGAAAATAATCTATTAGTTGTTTTTAAATGACAACTTTAGAACATATCAGACATAAATTTCTAAGCATTTTTCATAAGGTAAGGGTACTTTAGAAATGTTCAAAATGTATATGTTTTATATTAAGAAACTGTTAAAATTTTAAATAATATATATTATTTAGTTTGGAGCAAATGTGTCCTGTTATAAAACAATCAGTTTAAATTTGCTTGCATCTCTTCTTGACTTTCTAGGGACCCTTACAATGCAATTGAAGCCATAGACCCAGAGAAACTGAATGTCTTTCGGACAGTCAGGGAAATAACAGGTACTTTTATTTTATTTTGCCACTAGCTATGTGACCTTTTCATTTCTTTAAATAATTACATAATATTTATAATAGCTTTAATTTTCAAGAGAAGTTCTAGTTCTCTTGAAAAAGTAACTCGGATGATTTTGAACATTTATTAGCTTTTATATTTTAAAACCAATAGAGTTACATAGAAAACTTTGGAATATTGTTAATATTGCTTTTGCAAATACCAAAAGCTCTGTGACTCTTGGACATTTGCTTTGTAATATATTTTCTCATAAGAATTCCAGGTAATATGGAAAATTTATACTGCTTGTTTGGCACGACAGGTTTTGAGCATTTACTATTTTAAATCTTTTATAATAAATTATGGGTTCATAAATATAAATCAAACTTGGACTTGACAGCACATGAAATAAAACCTGATATGAAAGGTTAGGCTAAACACAACTTAGATTTCTAGGTCAATACAGATAGGAGAGTACATAAATAGATGGTGAAGGGATTCACAGAAATAGAGCTGTATTTTTTTCTTCCTAATTAGATAACAATTCTATGTATATGTATCTATCAAAATAAAATAAATTATATTTTTTCAATATTTGATACATACAACTTTATGATTCCCTGAATCATAAAGAATCCTTGGGATTCTTGATTCCATACTTTGATATCAACTATTTATCTATTCTTTACTCCAGAAACTCATGGTATTATGCTTAATCATAAAATGAAAAATGTGATGACTACTTCAAAAATAGTTTTCTTTGCCTTTGCTTACTTTCTGCCTTTCAATGTATTTTCATTGTGTTTGGATGATAATTACCACTGTTGTTGAAAAAAATAATACCACAAATGATTTTGCTTTCCTAAATCCCTATAGGTTTCCTGAACATACAATCGTGGCCTCCAAATATGACAGATTTTAGTGTCTTCTCCAACCTTGTCACCATTGGAGGAAGAGTCCTCTACAGGTAGGTAAAGGTGTTCAATGCTGTACACTGCACAAATACAAGAAGGGACATCACAAGTTCTTTAATTTTATAAACACCAGTATTACTGATCAACAAATCAGTAGTATTGATTGATTCCAAAGAAGAGTCCTGAAGTAATCCCCACTGTGATATGAAACACATAGAACTCAGAGCTTGGTTTTGAATGACGTTTTGCCTGTTCTGTGTTGCAGGGTGGCTGCTTGTTCGTCCTGGCTAGCTTAATCCTAAAATAACCACACTGAAACTGTATTAATTAAATCACTGTCTAGCTCATTAGTTCTAGCTTCTGATTGGCTAATTCTTATATCTTAATTTAACCTATTTCTATTAATCTGTGTATCGCCACACAGCAGTGGCTTACTGGGTAATATTCCCAGCTTCTGTCTCTGGCAGATCCATGGTGTCTCTCTGACTTTGCTTTCTTCCTCCCAAAATTCAGTTCTGTCTTCTCTGCCTACTTAAGTTCTGCCCTATCAACTAAGCCAAGGCAGTTTCTTTATTCATTAACCAATGAAAGCAACACAAAAACAGAAGAACCCCCTATAGCAGTGCTGATATTAATATTTTTTAGGTATAAAGCCTGTGATGTGACCTCTAGAACTGTACCTTATTTTTAATTTGTATTATAATAACAGATATACTTAAGTGACTAAGAAATGATGTGAGTTTTTGGGAAATGAATGTTGTTGTACTCAGAGGCTAGATCTGTATCTCTGGTGCCATTGTTTGTGCCATACATCCAGTGTTGATATTACAGGGTAGGTCCACTATCTTCAGTGTTGAATTATTATTATTATTATTATTATTATTATTATTATTATTGGAAAAGTTAGAAGATATTGTTAGTCAATATTAACATAATATTATAAATTTACATGATAAAATGAAACTTTTATAAGGGTACTGTTTCTTAAAGTTTTGATTTTAAACTGTGTCAGTTAAAGTTGACTATTTAAACAGAAAACAAATATAGCTCTAAGCTTGGAAAAGCAGTACCAACATTCAATAAATACTTGAAAAACTGTTCAACATCCTTATCTAGTGAAATAATGGAAGTCAGGGTCATCATTCCAGTTAGAATGCAGGTCATTAAGAAAACAAAAGATAGTAAATGCTAAGAAGGATGAAGGAGAACAGACATATACATCAGTAGAGGAAATGTAAACTAGTATACCAACAAGAGAAATAATTGTGGGTGTTCCTCTATCATCAGTATAGTAGCACTGTATAATCAGGGTATATGTTTATTGAGTATATTCCCCAAGTTAGCATAAAGCAGAGATGTTTCCACATTTATATTCATTGAAGAACTATATGCAATAACCAAGTAAGAAAATGACAGGACATGTCAATAGATGGATGACTAAATAAAATGTATATAAAACAATATTATTTTCATCTCAATGAGGATACAGTGAATCTTACAGGGCCCCAAAGTTTGACAATCAAGAGAGAGGGAAAAAAAAATATATATATATATATATAAAATATGTGTGTATAAAATATACATATATATGTACAAACACTAATAATTAAAGAATTCATATGTTGATATGGTATTGGGGTAATCTTAAGGAATTAAAAGTGTGAAGTTTGGAGTGAAAATTATATAAATATGATATTCGTGTATGAAATTCTCAGAAAACATTAATAAAACAAGTAAAAGTTGTATAAACACATACACACACACTGAAATGAATTCTACCATTTAAAATAATAATTATCTGTCATATGAGGAAATACATGAAACTTGGGATTATGTAAAAAAAATAAACTGTACTCCAAAAATCAATGTTGTATTTTTTGTAATATATAATACAAACATATATAGATGATATGGATAGATAGATGATAGATAGATAGATAGATAGATAGATAGATAGATAGATAGATAGATAGACAGACAGGACAGAAAAACAGACAGACAGAGAGACAGACCGACAGGCAGGCAGGCAGACGAATGGACGGAAGGAGGGAGGGTAGGAGCGAGGGAGGGAGGGACGGATAGGTGTGACCAGAAAAGGGACTACTTGGGAAGAAGAGATAGAGCAGTGAGTATGGAGAGAAGATAGGAGAAAGTAAACTGAGGACAATATAAAGCCTAGCATTGCAATAAAAACAGACAGGAAGACCAATGGAACCGAATCAAAGACCCGAATATCAATCCACACACCTACGAACACTTGATTTTTGACAAAGAAGCAAAAAAACCTCAGATGGAAAAAGAAAGCATATTTAGCAAATGATGCTTGCCTAACTGGACATCAACATGTAGAAGAATGCAACTAGACTGATATCTGTCACCATGCACAAATATCAAGTCCAAATGGATCAAAGGCCTCAACATAAAGCCAACCACACTGAACCTCATAGAAGAGAAAGTGAAAAGCACATTGAACAGATTGGCACAGAAGACAACTTCCTAAATATAAACCCAGTAGCAGACACTGAGAAAAACAATTAATAAATGGGACCTCCTGAATCTGAAAATTTTCTGTAAAGCAAAAGACACGGTCAACAAGACAAAATGGCAGCCTACAAAATGAGAAAAGATCTTCACCAACCCCAGATTGGACAGAGGGTTGATCTCCAAAATATACAAAGAAAGCATGTCTATTTTTACATAGTTATAGAAGCATCAATATATTATAGTGCTTAACCAAAAGACTTATTTATATTTATATGTATTCTTTAAATGTTTAGTATTAGTATAGAACTTTATTGTTGAGAAACCCAAAATTTAGGCTGACCAGAAAAGGCAGTACATATATATATATATATATATATATATATATATATATGTATATATACATATATATATATATATAGTCAGTGTTCATAATTATAGGAAGTGGAGATTGTCAGTTGTCAGTCAGGGAATTAAATGATTAAGTACATATCTTAGCACAGAATTGCCTGTTCATCCATTGTTGATGCTCCATTATTTTAATTTTTGTTGTGAGGTGCTATGTCCTTACTGAACTTTACAGTTTTGTGAATTATTCATTTTACTTTCCCCCTCTCTTCTTTTTAGTGGACTCTCATTGCTTATCCTCAAACAACAAGGCATCACTTCCCTACAGTTCCAGTCTCTGAAGGAAATCAGCGCGGGCAACATCTACATTACCGACAACAGCAACCTGTGTTATTATCACACCATTAACTGGACAACACTCTTCAGCACCATTAACCAGAGAATAGTGATCCGAGACAACAGAAGAGCAGAAAACTGTAGTAAGTACACCACCCACAACGTAAGCAGGAACTTCTGCTTTATATTGAGCTAAATCGTTGAAAATCACATCAGAATCATTGCCCTTTAACTGAAAATGGAGAGATAACGGTGTTTGTAACATATTGTCTGTTTTCACATCCTGGCCAATATCTGTAAACCATATCTGCAGATGTAGATTCCATAGATCTAATAAAACCTTACTGAAAAGCTTAATGAGCATGCCAGACAATTCCATGGATCCCGCTATGTCGTTTGGGGATGGATAACCTGGGATGTGTTTTGAGATGTGGGAAAATGCTGTCTAGAAGTTTGTTGTGTTAGAAAAAAAATATTTTACAAATGCTCTTACATATAAATATGATTTTCTGATTTTCAGTATTGTTCGATACTTTTGCTCCATGCTTTTCCTTCATTGTTATATATAGGAAACAGTTTACATAGACAAAATTCTACATATTTCCCATCTTAAACAAACATGCCCTGGTCATTGATAATTACACTAAACAAATATAATTCATATATATTGTATTTATAAAAAAATAAACTAAAGTTTATTTGTTTCTGAGAATAAATGAGTAGAAGATGTTTTAAAATAACAATCTTAGGAGGCAAACAGAATTTAAATTTATTGAATTAAGTAGTTGGTAACTCCATCTTGTTACAGGGATAGTCTAAAACATCATAGGATATCAACTTTAACAAAATGAAACTTGTGAGAAATTTGGTTGCTTTTGTTGCTAAAATTATTTTATAGAAAAGGAGAGATCTATAACAAGCAAAAAATCTGGAGTTAGGAGATCTTCCATGCTTACCATTCTCTGTGCCACATAAAATCAGGAAATAGATCTACTTATATATCAACCCATGCATGGTAATATTAAATGAATCTTCACTTTTATGCACCCTGGATCATTTACTTTGTTCATACATTGTTGATTCTTGAGAGGTAACTGTTTTTGCTTTCTGTCTGATCAGAAACTCCTTTCTTTACAGTTTTGTGTGTGTGCTTCCATGCCATACAGAAGAAGACATATGACATTCAAATAGAATCTTTGATACAAATTTATGAATACTTTTCTCATTTATTCTTTTATTCTGTATCTTATGTTTTAGTCATTCAAAATAATATTGTTTCACCATCTTTCATCTATGATTGCTTAGTAGTTACATATAGGAAAACACGCAAGCATCAGAGACTATCTGATTTCTTTGACATAGTGAATCTGAAATCCTGAAAATACTCATGTTTTATATACCATTTTTAAACCTGTACATATAAAAGCAAATGGAAAGAAGAACATGAGAAAATTAAATATAGAATGAAACAGAGTTTTGAGGTTTTTCTATTATTCTGAGAGTTACAAACTTTTGTAGCATGCAAAGAGAAGCGCATCACAAATTACAGTAATAAGGGTAATACACTGAACATCGCGTTTTTAAACTTTCAGTACTGTAAAAATTTCAGTATTAGACTAAGTTCAGCTATTTTTAAACCATATGTATATTTCTCCTGGTACACTTAGATTTGAATTTTTAGTTTTGGAAAGATATGAAGCAGTTAGAAGAAACCATTTTGTTCCATTATAGTACCAAATTAACAGTTTCCATTTTTATCTCTAACAGCATCAGATAAGTATTTTATTACATGAAGTCTATTTATTAAAATTTAAACTATGGTATCAAACCAAATGAATCTGCAGAAACATCCCAAGCATGAATTTTCATGCAATAGAGTAGCCCTGTGAACATGACCTCAGGATTTATTCTGCTGGTGGTTACGGTGAGCTGCAGTGGAGAAGCACTGTTATTAAACCCTTCCCATCATTCACATCATTCTCTGCAAATAAGAAGTCCAAATAGATCCCTCCTTTAACAGGAACTGCATTTTTAGATATTCATCCTTGGTATCTGTTCATGTACAAGATATATTCTGGTATATGTATATACATACATATTTGCTACAACACATAAGTGTAGACAGAAACAGTATATATACTACATTCATATAGTATTTCAACACATATTCATAGAAAAGCATGCAATATACATATTTTAGACCTATACACACCTGCCAAAGCAATACAGTTACAGTAAACCCACTGATCTAAATCTGAGATGATTGTCTATTAAAAAGGCAACAATTTAAACAGATGGTGTGGTGTTCAAAATGATTTTCAAAAAATGCTGACAAGAAAGAAAGACTTTACCTCATCCAAAAAGGTGACAGTGGCTTGAACAAATTTTCCCTTTTTAGTCAAAAATTTGAAAGACGGCTCGATGATTTGAAGAGCATGAGATTGAGAAATAACCACAGCACATAAGAGACTGTATCACTTCCTGCCTCATCGTCCCATGTGGTGATGCTACTCTCCAGATGATAGCACTATGTGGGAGAAGTTCTAGTGGACTTGTCAGAAGTCTCTTGAAGTTTCTTAAAAGACAGGAATGCATTCTAACATATAAACAGTACAGAGATAAATACAATACCAACTCTCCAAAACCCAGGTTATATTTGAGTCACACATTTTATTTCTTAGAAACTATTGTACATATGTAGTAGATATAATTAGAAACAGTTTCATTATTGATTTTTCCATATGGAAACAACCTTTCCAAATTGCAACTTTACCTTTTTTATTATGAAATATGCAAAACACTGAAACATCGGTAGAGAATGTGCTATCTTTCTGTGCATGTCTTCATTAGGGGTTTCTCTTTCTGTGATAAAACAAGACCAAAAGCAGCTTAAGTTGGAAAGTGTTTACTTGGCTGACAGATCCTGAATTACAGTCATTTTAGGAAAGCCAAGGCCGGAATTCAAATAGAGCAGGAATCTGGAGTCAAGAGCTGATGCAGAAGCCTCAGGGCAGTGTGGCTTATTGGTTTGTTCGTTATAGCTTGCTCAGCCTACTCTCCTATAGAACCCAGGTCCACCATCCTAGGTATGGTGTCACTTACAATAGACTCTCCCATCCACATAAATAACATGTTTTACAAAATACCTCACAAGCTAGCTTGTTTGCAGCCCTTTCTTTTGAAGGCATTATCTTATTTGAGTGTTCTTCCTCTCAAATTCCTATAGTTTTTTGTCAAGTTGACATAAAACTAGGCAACTCAGTGCATATATAATACATTCTTAGGTGTTGATATATCTTAATATTTAATGGGATCATACTATCCATACTTAAGAATTGCCCCATCACCTGTGTTTCGGCTTAATATATTATCAGAATTCCCTGTCTTGCTTGCTACTGTGTGTAAGTCTGTCTTATTCTTTCTAAGAGCTTATCCATAGTAATATAATAAATTAGTTTCCACTTCTGTATTAATACTATTGCTAGAATAATGCTTATTCTGGGTCATAAAGCACTTTACAAAATGAAATTATTTCCTTAACCTAGACACAAGTATAATTTTCTGTAGATAAGGTATAAATATAGTGCCTTAGATATGTCTCTATTGTCTTAAAAATTCCCTCTACTAAATGCTGTGTAATACCACTGCTTATGATGATGGATATCCATGACTTAAATATCTGTGATCGGCAAAAAGCAAATGAAAGCTTTTGGATGTACACGATTGGAATTGACACAGATTCACATTTATTGCTTATTCATCTCTTATATTTTCCTCTTACAAATTACTACATTTTATTCATGCCCCTCTTTCTGTATTTAGATTGGTGATTGATATTACTTGCTTTCGGATTTGAAAAGTCTTTGAAATTTTAATACACTAATTTCTGTTCTTATGTGTATTGTGAATAACTTTTTGTTTTTTCATATGATTTTAAAAAATTTTCTTATTTAATAAGCAAATGTTTTATGTTTTTATCAAGTTAAGGGGCCGTTTGTTTTTCTCATTTCTGTCTTACAGAATTCTTATTTCTCTATATTCTGGTTCATGAATAACTTTACCTTAATTTTTAGAAATATAGAACATTTCTAGTGCCTTTGAATCTCCAATTACATAATCTATTGAGCCAATAAAACTGACTAATGCATCTCTCTTCAGTGATAAAAGTTGTGTGCAATATATGGCACTAACTCATCAGATGAGAACATGTTAGATTGTGGTTATCAATGTATCTATGTGCTTTCATTTGTCTTCAGTCCCCTGTAAATCGTAGATAGCTCCATGGGAAGATCAGTATAGCAATATCAAGAAACATAAATAATATCTTCCATGTTTTGAGCTGCTAATTATATCGAGTGTTTATACTAATATCCATCTGATTTCAAATATCTGTATCTTTATTTCACCATAAAACCATTCAAAAGATACTGATTACTATCACAGGAAATATGATAGTAACTCATGCTCCTATAATGCATTTTATATGCCTTATTGCAAGATCATACTTGCCTTTGTCCATGTTTTGTGTGACTACAGCAATAGATAGATGATAGATAGATACATACATACATAGATTAATAAATACTATAGAAAATAAAACTTGATTCTTTACAATGTAAAGAAGGTTTTTTTTTGGTTCACATAGTTCGAATTAAAGACATACAGTAGGTGAATTAGTCAGGGTTCTCTAGAGTAACAGAACTGATAGAGTGAAAACGTATATACTGAGGGGATTTATTATAATGGCTCTCTCTCATTACAAAAGGAAAGAATTCTATATTTATTCAGTTCATGACTGGATGTCTCTGGCGGTCTTCATTATACACTGGAATTCTTAGGAAGTGTGTTCTGACATCAGTGAATGAAGGCCTTAGCATCTGGGTAGATAAACTTACCAGTGAGGGTGAAGACAAGCTGGCAAAAAAGCAAAAGCTTCTTTAATCTACATCATTTTACATGGGATGCCACCAGAGGTGTGACCCAGCAATGACCTTTATTTAGGTCTCCCAACCTTAAATTATATGAAGAAGAAGAAGAAGAAGAAGAAGAAGAAGAAGAAGAAGAAGAAGAGGAGGAGGGAATAAGAGGAGGAGGATGAGGAGGAGGAGGAGGAGGAGGAAGAGGAAGAGGAAGAGGAAGAAGA